TTCACACTGCAGAAACATCTAGCAGATGAGTAAAGGTATGAAATGGACGGATATGGAGTCCCTGCTGCAGCTCAGGCCATTTTCCTCACAAGGGAACTCATGTATGCTCAGGCAACAGTGTTATTTAGAGCCCGAAATTTCATTCAGTTGACTCCGACACCTAGGCATGGGACACCCCATGCCTTGGTCAAGTGAAAAACACTGTAGTAAAGAGCACCTCAAAAGCTTTCTCAAAGCCACAAGACTCATCAATCAGTCTTCGTCGCCTCTTGATGTGCACAACCACTGACACGCTGGAGGCAGGCTTCATCCGCAAGGTGAGCAGCAGTCACCGATGTCACTTTGTTTTCATGGAGTAATCATGTTTTGTGAAAGAAAAGATGGTGAGACGCTACTAACTGCACGTGGAGGGAAGAGATAGACAAACGAGTCCAGCTGGACTGGATCTCATGGAACAATAGGTGAAATTGCACCCGTGCAACTGCTGACTACAAGCATAACCACTTTGTGACTACTTCAGCCACACAAGGAAGAACTTTAAAAATTTCCTTCGTGCATTACTCCTATCGCGAAGGTTTCCAGATGAAGCTTTTATCATCACATGCGTCGTCGACGTACGAAATGTTAGTTCGTGAAATGTGTCTGGCTCACAATGATGGAGAGGTTCACGTCTTTCCATTCACCAATAATCCAACTGGAGAGCAAATACTTAAAACTATCCCAAATGGACAGTTTGGAAGCTCTGTTGGGGACTGATATGTTTTTAGCGTGAAGTCAAACTTGGCTTCTTTCCTATATTTATAACGCGGAATCGAGGCAAAGATACTTTTGTTCTGGAGAGTGATTCCTTTCGATGGATAAAATTCATTTTAATTCCTCGTGCCAACTTGACAGACAGCTGTTCTTCGTTACTGTCTGTTACTATGTTAGACATTTTCTTGAGATTCAAAACAACGACCTAAGCATAAAATTCATCTATTTCAGTAGGGATGGTGAATTTGAATTCAGCCATACAATACAAATCAAGGCTCAGTATTATTCATTTTCACAATGCATGCATGCTTTGGACTAATGGCATGCGAGGTTTCGTCGCAGCTTGGAACCACAAGGAAAGAGTCCTATGATGCCCTTCACGTTGGAAAACGTCAAAGGAAACCACTCGAAAGGGCAAGGAAAAGCGAGTTTAATGAGTGCAGTCGGTGCACTTAATCAAGAATGGTGACAGAATTATGAGCTTCCATGACCTTATTCAACTCGCATCCGACACAGAGTGTGCGACGTAATTTTCTCATGAATGGAGTAAACATCATCATGGCTACATCCTTTCTTCTTCTTCAGACCCCATTTTTCCTCGTGATATCTTGTCCCTTTGCCCTCGCACTGACTCATTATTACTCGTACTCGAGGGAACTAGACTAAAACAACAGAGTGCTATCCTAACCTCTCACGTTTACGCCTCGATTCAAACTCTCGTACAACTTAAGAAATGACGACGAAGAACGCAATGACATTTGGAAGCCCTATACTTTCAAATAAGTATGTATCCTGTCATAAATACCTTCCGTATTCTACATTGCAAAGATATTTACATGATTGCAGTGATATGTAATAAGTATCACATCATAGTATCAAAACACATAAGCCAAAGGGAAAACAAGGAAAACTGGATTAACCACGTCAAGGACCTTTCCCCTATTTTCTCTGTCGCGTGCGGTTTAATCTTATCGGAAGAAAGCCTCGTTCCAATTCATACTGCTGACTTGCTAAGATGTGAAATTTCCTTCCCTACCAAGTACGATGCTTATCTAGGTTGGATTTGGATGAATTATCACAACCTAGGCAAGGCTGCTCTCTCGCCTTTTCCCCTTCGACCACGCAGGCATGACATCGTTGTTTCAGAAGGGTATACCTCCGCACCCTCAGAAATCTACTCAGGTATTCTCCTATGCACGACCCTCTTTGATACTTAACAAAGCTTCTTCACTGGAGGACTAGGTCCACCTGTTTACAGATAATACCACCCTCCACCTTCCGCACGTCCCTAAAGAACGGGTGATGATGGCCTTGCTCCATCGGGACCTGGAATCCACATCCAAATGGGCATCCAATTGGAACGAATAAATCTATCCAAAGAAACCCATCTTATTGTTCCTCCATATATCTCACTATTGTAATTTTCTGAAGCTTCTTGAAGCCACTCACAATAGTTAGCTCACTTGGGAGGCTCATATTCACAGCATTGAAGTCTGCCGTCAGTGCCCTTGACACACTCTCCTATAATAAAGCAGCTTTTCTCTTACTCACTACGGCGATCCGTCTAGGTTAAAATCCACAGAATTCCCATCCTTTAGTGTCCTTCCACTTTAGGAGGGTGTTCCAGCCATCCATCCACCTCTCCTTCCTTCACAGAGAATACAGGCACGCTTTCTCAAGATATGTGACATCAATAAGCTGAACAATTTTGGTTTCCATCTTTTATTCCGTCGTGATTCTGCTACAATCTTATCTTTTTCTTTTCCCCTCTTCGCATGAACTTCCTTCTCTGCTTCCTCCTCTAGCAACATCCTCACGCAGGATACGGGCATCAGTCTCTTAAGAATCCGGTACATCCTAGCCTAGAAAATCCAAAATCCAAAACACGAAACACACTTCCTTTACAGAACAGGATTCATAAGGATCTCTCTCCCGGATCTTGGGTTCTTTCCTTTGGCTCCTCGTGTCAAAAGCAGCATTTATTTTCTTCGTTTTCAGGCAATCAGCAATACCAGTGCGGATGGCTTCTGGGAATGAAAAAAATTGGTAAAAAAACTAAACACAGGAATCTAGATGGTGAATATTCCGATTCTAATTGTCCATAACGGATCGGTCAGTGCTCGTGGACTGACAATTCGAAAGTGATATAAGACTACATCAAATTTTATTTTGATACGACCTGTCCTCCTGTTAGAGTGAAATCGTACGGTGCAAATTAGACAAAACGCGGTAGTCAAACATACGAGGGTCACTCAATAAGTTATCTACCTGAATAAGAAAGAAACATCCAAGGGGAAAAACAACACTTTATTTTTCAATGTAGTCACCTTTTAACTCAACACACTTATTACACTTTGATTCCAAGGATTTTATTCCCTGGGAATAGAAGTCGATTTCTTTTCCATCAAACCAATCAGAAACGGCAACTTTCAGCTCTTCGTTGCATGAAAATCTTTTTCCCCGCAAACATTTTTTCAAGTGTCTGAACAGAAAACAGTCACTAGGAACCAGATCCGGGCTGTAGGGAGGATGGTTGAGCTCCTGAAAGCCACACTCCTTCACTGCTGCCTCAACTTTCCATGATTTGTGGACGGGCGCGTTGTCACGGAGAAGGACCCCCCTTGACAACTTTCCTCAGCGTTTTTCCTTGATGGCATCGTGTAAAATTTTCATGGTGGTAGTATAGGAATTGCCAGTGATTGTACACTCGTCTGGCATGAACTCAAGCAGCAGTAGTCCCTCGCCGTCCCAAAACACAGTGGCCATAATTTTTCCTGCAATTTCCGAACACGAAATTTGCGAGGCGTTGGCGATCCCTCGTGCTTCCACTGCATGGACTCCTGCTTGGTTTCGGGATCCCAGTGATGAATCCGAGTTTCATCACCAGTTACTATTCTGGGAAAAAAAGTTTCCCCGATTTGTTTAGAAAACTCCAAGTTTTCCTTGCAGATGTCAGATCTGTTCTTCTGAGCTGGAGTCAGCATTCTTGGGACCCATCGAGAACTGACTTTGGACATGTGTAATTTTTCATGAATAATGTGAATCACTGTGCCCTCTGAAATCCCCAGTTCATGAGCTAAAACAGAGACTTTGGTGCGACGATCCTCCGGTATCGCACTCTCCAATTTGTCACACATTTCCTGATCAGAAGCCTCCACAGGGCGCCCCGACCTTGGGTCATCTTCAATCGACTCTCTTCCCCACTTAAACTGCTTGCTCCAAAATTTAACTTGGTAATAAGGCGAAGACACACCATAAACGTTAGGCAAACGTTCATGAATCTCCTTAGGTGCTTTCCCTTCTTTGGTGAGGAATTTGATCACTGAACGATGTTCAACTTTCGTCAAATCCATGACACAGACTCAGGAAAAGAAATCTAATGCGCTACCACTTTGAACGGACTTGAGCCACTGAGCTGGTATAGTGGTGGGGCACTCACGAGACCTGTCGGGACATGTCATAGCAGGCACAGGCCTGTTGCTCATCCCTTTCATATTCAGGTATATAACTTATTGAGTGGCCCTCGTATCAGCTGAACATTATACATTTTTGGTGAAACAAGGCAATATCGAAGCACTTATCCCCTTGCGAACCTTCTTGTCAGCCACAAATTGGACGAACGAAAATTAAAACCAAAACTAGCAGGTACCAGCTGAGAGAAAAGTCTTCCCATGTCTTCTCAAGCTCATCAACTGTACATATTCTTTTTCATTAAGCGAGACACGAGACATTCAACAAGAATACACTCTCCTGTATCCTATATACTGTAATGTTCTCATCTGTCATAAACGAAATCGATTTCATGAGACTTCTCAGACAGCTAAATAAGAACACTTTGATTAGACTTTGTGGTGTCCAGGTGGATACTTGATTATCCTTAACTAATGAATCGAAAGACTTCAGTCCCATTGTATGTGCCTCCCTATTCTGAAAGCCTATGAATACCTGCTAATAGAATATCTTTGCCAGTATGGTGCTAACTCACAAAAAAGGGTACTTGGGAATTTTACAATAAAGGCCATGAAAAGTTATCAGCCTTAATTTAAAAAAAGGAGCCAAACATCGACAGCAGGACCCAGATAGGCAGGAGAGGGCATCACATTGTATATGGGATCCTCTGGATTCCCCTTTCCCAATCCCACAACTGCAAATGGCACCCTGCAGCGAAATGGTTCTGCATTCCAAGCTGTTTTCACTTTAATCAAGTTCCTTCTAAATGTATAGATTAAAAATTAAAAAAACATGCATGGATCTTGCATGCTCTTGTATTCAAAGTATAAATAGTCAAAATATCACCACATTTCATGTTAAAATGGCACAGAATAAAATAAATGCACTCAAGAATATTAGAAAATGCCCTTCTACATTGAAAGAAATGATAAGGATAAGAAAAAAGGGACAGTGGTCAAATTGCCAAGTGGAATGAAATGCAGTGACTTAGATTTCTTGAGATCCACTTGGGGGAGCAGAGCCACCAATGGTGGAGATGGGTTTCTTTGGCATCAAAGTTGGATGAATGCTAGGCAGGACTCCTCCTTCTATCATGGTGACACCATGAAGCAATCTGTTGAGTTCTTCATCATTACGAACTGCCAACAGCAAATGCCTGGGTGAGATCCTGCAAAAACAAAAAGGATTGATAAAAACCTACTCATCCAATCATACCTACTGTCCCTATAGAGGAACTAGAAATTGAGTCAACTCAGATCAAGTCCACTTCAAGCAGTGACATTATGAAAGGGGGAGCTTTAGGGGCTTGAGTCAACCCTACCACCCAATTATCATTCAGGTACCATAACCATTTTACCAGTCAGTTTTCTTGTCCCCATGTCAAGGGGGTTCTTTTTTGGGAGGGGGGGTTTGGATGCAGGGAGCTTCTTATGCAGAATTTGTTGCCTGTCCTAGGAAAATTTATTTCTGCTTACTCAATCAATTTGCTAAGTAGTACTTAATACTCCATGTCGCACAGAGTCATACCCAACCTCACATTGCAGCCTATGCACTGATAGGTCTTTTGGTTGGGTTTCTTGAGGCATTCATGCCCTGAAAACTAACTTTTTCACTCTCTTTTTTATGCTGTTGACAGAGTATAGGGAAGAGCCAAAGATATGAGGTTCCAAACATGTCACAATAATGGGGAAGCCCCTGAGAATCAAAATGACATATATGTCATGAGAACAGGGAAAGGGTTAATACTGAGCTGCTGTTACCCTGAGCCCCCTCCATCCTAAATTTCTATATATGCCACTCAACACCCATGAATGCATAGTGGAATTTCCCCCATTTCTTCAGGAAAATATATAAAACCTTCATACCAGCACCAAAATTATTTTCTTTCAGTTAGGGATAACCATTACAGGTAAAAAAAAAAAAAAAAGTATCATGAATCACTTTGTCATTGGTAGTATTTATTTCACGAATTACTTTCTCCCTTGTACCATTCATGAATTGAATCACTTTCATGTCATTTGAACAATTTCTTTCATTTATGTGCCATTTTCCCTGAAATTTTTACAGGCATACCTTCTAATAAGAGAAGATAGAAATAGTGGGGCAAAAACAGATTGCTTATCATAATTTTGTCATAATTTGACCCAATGGGCCTTTTTCTCATCAAGCCAAATTTGAATCATAGACCATTGCACATTTTATATTAAAAAACTAAGAGGAAGGCCTGAAGAAATAGCATTGCAGGGTAAGGACCAGGCTAGGAAAACCCTTGTAAACATGGTTCGCGGGAATGGAGACGTGCGGGCAGGCAGCCCACTTGCATATCCTTCCTGGGAAATTCCAATTTGTTGCCTCAGGTTTGTGGGAAAATATATATTTTTTCTACACTGGCAAGGACACTAATCTATGACTTTTAATAACAGAGATGCTGTTTGCATACATTTTTAAGTGGAAACTTATCCAAGCAATGCCTAGCCTTATATTGTGTGCAGTGTCTGTCTAACAATTGACCAAATCCTGTTAATAGTCCATTTCTACTTGAAAATATATCATTTTATGAAAATCACAACTTCTCATAATTTTCATATCTGTCTCATTACTGGTGTCCAGTAGAAAAAAAAATTCATTCTGGATGCATTAGCCAAGATGTAGGACATCCAAAAGTAAACAAAGTATAAACATACATTTTTATGTTGTTTTCTCTTGCTTCAACTCCAATTCTTGATTCATATCCACTTATTTTCCACTTGATGGAAAATACAATTAAATATGGATTTGCAAATCCCACTTAATGAAGGTAAACTATCCACCCCAAATCTTTAAAAAGAACTCAATCAGATAAGGAAAATGCAGGTGAGGCTGCAAGAGTTGTCACAACTGGAATCAACCAGGATGAACTGGGTGTTTCATGTAATTTTTTTTTAGCCCATTCATAGCATGATTTGGACAACAGAAATGTTTAAGTCTATAGTAAATGAATATAAGCAGATTATATGCTTCAAAATTGGTACTTTGGTCCTACTATGGACTCTATTCCTGAGCACCCCTAGTGCCTTAGTGGTCCCTAGAGCTTCCACCCAACAGCATCCAGGTTTGTCCTCATATTGAATACTGGCAGTCCTCCCCCTTTTAATGAGGGATATGACATAGGAAGGTAGAAGAGATTCCCAAAGAGAGTGCAAAATAGGAAAAGAGATTTTACTTTAAAGATGTATTACATCTAAATGTTTTACAACAGCAGTTCTGAATCTTTTCTTCCCAAAGGCACTCTTTTAGGACAGTGAGATATCAAAAGCACCCCTGCAATTCCACAAACTCTTGTGCATGATAACATAAGCCTAACCAGGCCCTCTAAATTCATTAATGACAGGTTTATCTTAAACTGTCACTAGGCAAAACCTTACTTTCAAAATAATTTATTTGAACACCTCAATGCAATATCTGTGCCTGCCTCTGGTTGCCTAGGAAATCAAGATATGGCTCAAATTTTGAAGTGACCTCAGCCAGTTTACTTGTAATGCTTAGACAGGACCTGAACTTTTTTCCTTGTTACTCAGAATAACAGAAGGTAAACATATATATATGGTAGCAAAAAGCAATCTGGATCTCCATTATAGCAATAATATTGATCTTGACATTCCTTGAAACTCTTTTAATAAAATGGTATGTCAGAGCATGTAATAAGAGTAAATTTTAAAATCAAAATTGACATGTACTGCATCCTCCTGGTAAACACTTTTTCAAGAGTAGGTAGATGTCAGAGTTCTAATACTTTAAATACAGTTCTTCAGAAGAAGTATGCTGCCTGCTCCATAAAGGGCTTCTTGGTTACACCAGTTAAGCAGCATTGTAGCCTTCTGGTCTTCTTGCTCTACTTTGCTGACATGCAAAAAATAAATTGCCCAATACCCACAGTACCCTTTTGCCAGCCTCTTGCAACACTCCTGGGTGCGACAGTACACAGGTCGAGAGCTGCTACTCTTACAGTGACCACTCCATCTTGTTAATGTGGAGAGAAAGTTGTTCATTACAACCAAGACTTATTGGGAAATGAAGGTGCTTCAGGAGAATGCTAGCCATAGCCATTTTGATGTAACAGAATGAAGATCCAGGGATTCACCTAGACATTGCATTAAAGACATTTATTTCCCCATAAGGTAGACAAGACAGTCTATATTACCAAGTTATAGTGTTTTGATGGCCATAGGGTTATAGGTCATAAGCCCATAAAGCTATGGGCTTGATATTTGGGTCCAATGAGGATGAAAGTATACTAACATCCAAAATAAACATTACAAGATAATTCAGTGATAGCCCACATAGCAGGAGTTGTGATAGCATTATATCTGTCCTTTGCTGAACACATCAACACCACCTGAACATTATTAGTGTGCTCATTAACCCTAGAGTGGTAGGTCCATGCCACATTAGGAATGTCTAATTAGGGTTTTCTTCATGTCATATGTCAAATTCAGATTTCCACACATGAAAAATAGGCTGATTCCACTGTGTATGTCATACCATCTTCAAAAAACATCAGAGATATCTCAAGGCTAATGCAACAACAAAGGGATGGGCAGTGAAAATGAAAATGCTGCAAGAGGGTGTAATGCAAAATGTATTACATCATCTTGGATCTTCTTGGAATAAGCTGGCAGAGCACTTGACCTTGAGAAATGTAGTGATTCTCAAAGTCAGGTGTTCTGCCAGTTTTGATGAAATGCTGATTCAATCCAGTTTAGGCCACACCAGCCCATCTGAGTCACCATGTGACTTCCAGTTGTGTTACACCCTCTTGGAGCTTTTCCATCTCATAACTATATATCTTTATTAATTTAAATGTCTGTATCCATGCAATGGTTTCACTAGACTTCATACATTTTCCTCAGTGATACTACTTATTTACCATGGAAATAAATCCTGAAGAAAATGGTTCATCACAATTCATTCACATATGTATTCATTTCCTACATGACAATAATAATGCGTCAGATGGGAAATTTCCTGACAGACACAGGAAACTGAGAGGCTTTTGTTTCAGAATGAACACTTCACCTTTATCAATAACTGTTGCAATGGAATCTCTATTTTTTGGTTGGTTCTAGTTATCATCAAAGAAACTGACAGCAACTTATTTGCCAAATATATGTTCCCATTGGTGAAGCAAAGGCCAGTAAAATTAGACCACCATCAGATAACTTAAGATTTACCTCACCTGGTCTTTTTGTGATCCCTGGCTGCATTCCCAGCAAGCTCAAGCATCTCAGCCACCAAGTACTCAAGAACAGCAGCAAGATAGACTGGTGCACCAGCGCCAACGCGTTCTGCATAATTGCCTTTCTTGAGCTTTCGGTGAATCCTCCCTACAGGCAGCTGCAATCCAGCTCGAACAGACCGTGACTTGGCCTTGCTCTTGGTTTTTCCTAAAAAAGCAATATTGCAAGCCTAAGCGAGAGTGAAAATGGAATACTATACGAAGTCTGTCCGCTACAGATGACCCATGGCTATGGCCAGGCCTTGTCAGACAGGTGAAAGAAGAGGTAATTCTTAAACCTATACGTACCTCCTTGGCCACGTCCAGACATTTCTATCAATTCTTCAGGTTCAAAGAATGCTGATGGGTTAAAATGGAAGAATGAGACCGAGTTTTCAAGGTGTCTATATGGGCTTCACCAGATGAACACAAATTCACTGATCGAATGTGGATTCAGTGTCTTGCTGGCAGCAGTAGTACGTATGCGGCTCTCAAATCACCACCGGAAGTTCAGGCGAGTGCTGCGAGATCCCTATTCTGGATTTTCGTTTTGAAGCAATTTTATCTGCTCACATTTCCATTGCTGAACTGAAGAAGTCCTGGGTTCTCACGTCTCAGAATGTTCAACTGAACATTTTTTAATAAAAAAAAGTCACTATAATAAATTGATAAAGACTCCTCAGAGCAGAGGTCGGCAACTAAATTTCACGGGGGGTAGGATGGTAGAATCAGTGGCGTAATGAGAGGGGGGGGGGGGGCTGGGGGGCTGGGCGAGGAGAAGTACGAGGTAAGCCCCCCACCGTTCCACTTAGTCCCCCATTGGCGAAACCACTACGTCACTGGGCAGAATGCTGCACGTTCGCGAGCCAACACCTATCAAGTGTCGTTATGATGAAAATTTTATTGAACGTCTACTGTCAGACCGTAATGTCCGATACCCTGGTCTTCGCGGCCAGAGGGAGGGCTTCCGGGGGCAGGATCTGGCCTGCGGGACGCCAGTTGCCGACCACTGCTTAGAGTGAACAAACTTCCCGGGGCTCCTCCAGGGGGAAGGTGTATACTCTGGCTGGTGCAGAGGTGACCCGTACTCCCTGCTGACAATGAACTCATCTTGTCAGAAACGTCATTGATAGCGTTGCGCGTACTAGTATATTTCTCAATTGTTCGTTTATTTCGTTCACAACCAATGGCTTCCTGCTTTCATTCATTTTCTTTGAGATATTCGGTCGCCATTATCAACAGTTGCAAGGTTTGCAATGTTGCATCCTGCAAGCATACTTGTAGCAATCAGCAGACAGAAAATGCTTCATTCCGTGAGATTCCCAATTACTCAACCATGAATGAAGTAGGGCTGTCACGATAGGTCGATGCATCGATACCATATCGATGGTTGAAGGTATCGATAAGTTTTTCGACCATCGAAATCGACAAAATTGTTGAAGGGGAAATATCCCATTGGATTGAGACGAGTACAGTACAGTACAGTCCGTCCGGGCGAGAAAAGAAAGAGGCGGCGTGACCCGCATGGACTTGAAATTTCTTATCACAATCAAATTCTAGAAATGCCGGGACTGACTATATGAAAGACGGGGAGGGGGAAAAAATAACATGGAATCGGAGACAGGAAGTGGGAAAGGAGAGAGAAGACCGAGAATATTTTTTTCTCTTCTGTTTCAGTCTTCGACTCGATTTCATCAGGTGCATGCTGGGAAAGTGAACTGTTCTTTTACTCTCTTGATTTCGAAAAGGACATCGGTTAATCCCCCTCTCCATATTCCTGTCTTTCTCCTTAATATGCAGGATTAAGTTTTTAAATTGTTAACTTGCCCCGGGGCATTTTGCCTCTTTACTTAAGGTGAACCCAAAGTGAATTTTTTACATGGATGTCGCTTTAATATAGGGCTTTACCGATGCTTCGGCAACCGTCGGTATGGCACCATCGGCAGATTTGCAATCTGCCGGTGTCAATGTCTAAAGACCGTGTAGCACGAAAAAAAGGGAGAGAAAAAAAAAACTACGTGAACGGGCTTGCCATCTGATTCTCAACGGAAATAATAAATATTAGGGCTGTCCTAATGCGTCCATCAATGGATGTCGTTTTCGATAGTTGGAGGCATGGTAAACTTCGTTACTCGTTGCGAAGGTCAAACCTCCGCCCGATCGCGGCGAGAAAAGATTGAATTCTCGGCATCTCCCCCCCTCCTGCCCTTATTTTTACTTTTATCATGAGAAGCCGGAATGTCTTTGATGGTGACTGGCAAAATTTCATCATATTTGTCGACTAAAGATAGCTTCTATGAATTTGTTTCAATGTGCTACCAAAGGGTCTACTGAAGGGATATATAAAGTGACGTAAATGCTGTGATGAATTTTCTCGCTACAAAGGAGTCGATCTCCCAGCAGATCTTTCAGCAGCTAAGAGGATAGAGTCCTATAGACACTTCTACGAAAGATCTCTAGGGAGATCGACTCCTGAACTTTTTGATCGATTCTTAGAACTTTTTGACCACCCCATGTATTGTATGATACTTTCGTGTGATTTCATCGCATTCGCATCAGATGTTGACAGGACACGTTGTTTCCATCTCCAAGATCTTTTCTCCTTCCTTTTCGAAGCATTCTGACAGTTGTCCTGACTAGCTCCTCAATCAAGATTGCTTTGAGAATTTTCTAGTTTCGTCTGAGGAGCAGGACGTTTGATACCTGTCCCAGGAGTAAAACCGATGAGACAATCTCTGTTTTTAACTGCGACCAAATCTTCGGGTTACAGCAGGGAATCCAGCGCAGGAGTTGATGGATCTCTCTTGGCACTGCTTTCGTGATAATGCAAAATTAATTTAATCGGCTCAATCGTCATTCTCCCATTCCAAGCATACCCATTTATGAAAAAGTTGAAGAGAGGATTTATCAGACGGAGATGCACTGATCTTGTTATGCCAAACGATGAAACAATAACAATGAACACAGGAGAGGTATTTTAATACGTGACTGGTTTTCGTTGCTTTCAAACTTCATGGAAAGGTCCTGAATCTCCGTACATCTATAGCTAACCCATTCGGCACAACAAAGTTGTCTCAATGTTGAGAAAAGGTTGAAATAAAACACAGCATGACGTAGAAAAGTTGCTGCTGGGCAACTTTGTGTCAATGTTGTGCTCGCGCCATGTGGAGATTTAGGAAAATTGAGCATGTCTCCTCAGGGCCACTGGCCAGAAGTACTTTGAGTCTCCTTCTGCCGGGTTACCCCCTTAAACAGGTCTATCAAGAAATTCATAAGCCTTCCCTTATGTCGTACATGGGAAGAGATTGGATTCTGTATGAAAAATACTGGGTACTGTTTATTTCAGGGCATCAGGGTAAGAATCGCTGAATCGGTCGTTAGGCGCCATCTCGCGTCGATTCGTAGAACCTATTTTCTGTTGATATGATTCTCCACCTAGAAACAACACTGAGAATACGATGAAAAACGAATTTGCGCTTAATAGCCTGTGAAGGACTTCCCTACAGTAATTCACGAGCAGTCACCAAATGCTGAAAATACGGTTAATTACGAATATCTAGCATTTCATCGATGTTGATTTTTCGTCGAATTCTCAACTTCAACCAACCAACCTTCAACCGTTTCAACCTTTCCTCAATGTTGACACAACGTTGTTGTGCCGATACAGGGTGGTCCAACGAGGTATCTCTCGCTGGATCACCCTGTTTTTATACATCAATGATTGTTGCACTTGGGAGTGATTTAGAAAGAGTAGGTTCTCAAAAAGTGAATGCATCACATTGTAGACTTCCACATACAGTTCGAAAATATGTACAGGTTGTTTTATAAGTACAGTCATCCCATGATATAGCGACATTGTTTGTCATCTACGATTTTGGTGCTAAAGCGAAGCTATTATAGGTCATATAGGGTCAGAACTTATGCCTCAACCTAATATATCGAGTGGCGGTATAACGAGAGTTGACTGTAGCTTGACCACGTTGTTTCTGTCATTGCAAAATGGGGCGCCATTCCAACTGAATAAAGAAGGGCGAACATTAGTCGTGAAGACCCTGGAGAAGACTGAATAAGTCAGAATCTGTGATCTCGACACCGATCTGACTCTAGGATCTGACTTTCAGTGGTTACGAGATTCTGCCAGTGCTGCGATTTGAACGGTGCACAATTCGAGCCCCTGCATTAGGGCGATGGGGGTACCGGTAAACGTATATACGTCGTGGTATTTTGTGGAATTCAAAGGAATTCGGAATCTCTCTGGTTGGACACAGAATTTCGATAAACCCGTGGGCTTAGTAAATTCGTATCAATCTGCTTCCATCGTATCTTCCCTCTAGCGAGGTTCCAAATCACCCGGCATTGCTGCCTCTGCTTCCATCATTTCGTTTATTCCTAGATATGGAATCATCAAGGCACCAGGGGGATGCAATTTTGCATTTTATCCGTAGCATTATTAAAATAAAGCAGTCAATAAAACACAGTGTTATTAAATGGGACTCAATCGACGATGAAAAGTTGGAATTTTAATGGTTGGCACTGGTTCCTTGTGATGTTTTCTTGCATTCGCACATGGATCATGTACATCCAGTGGCGCAGTTTCTTTCTGCCCATGTAGCGTTTAAGGACACCGAAACGCCATTAGGCACCTCGACGGCTTGTCAGTAGAGTTTGCGGAGTGCGGACGGGAATGGGAAGTAGACCGTCTACGGAAGCAATCGGGGCTAATAGGGAGTTTTGGCTATCCGTTCTTAAGAGGACGGCAAGGGATGTAGGACGGCTGACGTTACTGGTGACGTCAAAAGCAGTTTTAAAACGCTTGAGGAAGACGTCAGAAACGTGGAGGGGGCTCTTCCAGTCGTTCTCCCAGGAACGTGATCGCGACGCAAGATCCACCAATCAGGAACGACTTGATAGGCACGTGAGCTTCGGTACAACGCGTGATGGTCAGTCATCCAGGAAGGAAAGCTACTATTGATGGCGGAGCAGCTGAAATTCAAATTATAGTATGCCCAGGTTGGGTTTCTAGACAATAGTCTTGCGTCTGCAGCAAGGGTTTCCCGACCAATAGCAATGTACGAGTAAGTTTTGCTTGAGATGGGTTTTTGGACAATTGTCTCACATCCACAACTTGGGTTTCTAGCCAAATATCCCCCAGGACAGTAACTGACATGTCTTCTTCGCCATCAGAGAAGTA